GACGGAGTGGGACTTTGTCTCAAAAAGAAAAGATTAAGTCAACTTAAAGATTGTACTTAAGGGCCAGACGCGGAGGGAAGGAGCTCCGAGTGGCCGCCGAGAGGCCGCGGAGCCAGCGACGACCGACCCAGCTGAGCCGCCGCCGCCGCGCCCCCATGGCGGCCGCCAAGGACACTCATGAGGACCATGATACTTCCACTGAGAATGCAGATAAGTCCAACCATGATCCTCAGTTTGAGCCAACAGTTTCTCTTCCTGAGCAAGAAATTAAAACGCTGGAAGAAGATGAAGAGGAACTTTTTAAAATGCGGGCGAAACTGCTCCGTTTTGCCTCCGAGAACTACCTCCCAGAATGGAAGGAGCGAGGCACCGGCGATGTCAAGCTCCTGAAGCACAAGGAGAAGGGGACCATCCGCCTCCTCATGCGGCGGGACAAGACCCTGAAGATCTGTGCCAAGCACTATATCACGCCGATGGTGGAGCTGAAGCCCAACGCGGTAGCGACCGTGCCCGGGTCTGGAACACCCATGCTGACTTCGCCGATGAGTGCCCCAAGCCAGAGTTGCTGGCCACCCGCTTCCTGAATGCTGAGAATGCACAGAAATTCGAAACAAAGTTTGAAGAATGCAGGAAAGAGATCGAAGAGAGAGAAAAGAAAGGATCAGGCAAAAATGATCATGCTGGAAAAGTGGCGGAAAAGCGGCGGAAAAGCTAGAAACTCTCTCGGTGAAGGAGACCAAGGAGGATGCGGAGGAGAAGCAATAAATCGTCTTATTTTATTTCCTTTTCCTCTTTCCTTTCCTTTTTTTTTTTTTTTTTTTTTTTTTTTGATTTACCCTGCCCCTCTTTTTCGGTTTTTTTTTATTCTGTTTCGTTTTTACAAGGGACGTTATATAAAGAACTGAATTCAACATTCAGGTTGTTTTTTCCTAAGTTTTTTCCCTATTGAAGATGACTTCAGAAAATCCAATCCCCAGTCATGAAAATGTACTGTGCTAACTTTCTTTTCCATAGTGGAAAGACTTATTTATAGTCATCAAAAATAGTGAATAAAAAACACGTTTGGAACCTGGAAAAAAAAAAAAAGATTGTACTTAAGTACAATCTCAGCTCACTGCAGCCTCTGCCTCCCCAGGTTTAAGCGATTCTTTTGCCTCAGCCTCCCAAATAGTTGAGATTATAGGTATGTATCACCATGCCTGGCTAATTTTTGTATTTTTAGTATAGACGGGGTTTCGCCATGTTGGTCAGGCTGATCTCGAACTCCTGACCGAAAGTAATCTGCCCACCTTGGCCTCCCAAAGTGCTGGGATTACAGGTGTGAACCACCGCAGGCAGCCTACTTTTAATACCTGAAGCTCATACTAAATATGATAACTGCAACCTATCAGCGATGTCTCTTGGTGAATGTCTGAAATGTCATATTTTCACATTTCTGTAGCTGTTTGAGATGATATTATTACGTATACGGTACTCAGACGCTTGACTTGAGGTAAATATGTTTTAAAATTGAATCACTTCAGTGTGAAATTCAAATTTTGTGGAATCCAGAAAGGTTTATTTTGATTTGTGTTGACTGTTATTGGGGATGGAATGCCTAACTCTTGAATTGTAACTTCTACAGAAGGCTCTCACTACCAGCACAGGGTTGAACAGAGGCTCAAGGATACTTCTATATTTTGTTCCTTAGCTATTTTTATTATAGTCGGTGATGTTTATTCTCAAAATATCCAAATAAATTAATGTCATCACTGCAGTTGTTGTTTTTTTTTTTTTCTTGAGATGGAGTTTCACTCTTGTTGTCCAGACTGGAGTGAAAAGGCACAATCTCAATGCACTGCAACCTCCGCCTCCCAGGTTCAAGCGATTCTCCTGCCTCAGCCTCCCAAGTAGCTGGAATTACAGGTGTGCACCACCACACCCGCTGATTTTGTATTTTTAGTAGAGATGGGGTTTCTCCATGTTGGTCAGGCTAGTCTCAAACTCCTGACCTCAGGTGATCTACCTGCCTCAGCCTCCCAAAGTGCTGGGATTACAGGTGTGAGCCACCTCATCCGGCCATCACAGCAGTTTTCTATCCATTCTATCAATATTCCATGCCTTCATTCATATTTATTTGTTGTCTATTATGTGCTGTTTTGAAATGTATAAAGAAAATGGGGGCCGGGCGCGGTGGCTCAAGCCTGTAATCCCAGCACGTTGGGAGGCCGAGGCGGGTGGATCACGAGGTCACGAGATCGAGACCATCCTGGTCAACATGGTGAAACCCCGTCTCTACTAAAACTACAAAAAATTAGCTGGGCATGGTGGCACGTGCCTGTAATCCCAGCGACTCAGGAGGCTGAGG